AGGTCTTTAGTTTTTTTGGTTAAATATGTTCCTAGGTATTTCAATTTATTCTCGGCTGTTGTGAAGTGTACTGCTTTCTTGATCTCCTCTTCCATGGTACTGTCTGATGTATATAGCAAACTGATAGACTTCTGTTTGTTGATGTAGTTTCCTGCCACTCTTCCATATTCCTCTACTGCTGTCAATACTCCGGTTGTGGAGCTTTTGGGATTTTCAACGTGTAGAATCATGTCTAAACTCTTTCTTATACACATGTGAGTATCCATGAATTTTTTCTCCAGGCTACCCAGACTAACACAACAATAAAGGGAAAAAAGTAGGTCCAGATGTACATAGAATAAAAGAAAGACTAGTTGGAGAAGGTGAAGGTGAGAAGCAAGAACCTTTAATGCTGGATATGAATGTACAGTCAAGAAATGTTGAAGAAATCTTGCAAATTTCTCAACACATGATTGGGATCCCAGTCAAATTCATATGAATCTCATAGAACAGCTTCTTAGTTGATACCCAAGTGCTCATAACATATGAATACTCAGTACACTGATATGTGTTTTCATCCCCTAATGTGCATGGAGGAAATGTGAATATCTTAGGAGATCTTGTGGCTCAGTGGTTAAGTGCGTGGCTGTTAACTGAAGGGTCAGAGGCTTGAATCTGCCTGCTGCTTTGCTAAAGAAATATGCTATCATTTGTTTACATAAAGATTTGCAGCCTTGAGCATGCGATCGAGAGAGTTCTGTTTTCCCTACAGGGTTGCTGTGGGTCAGAATTGACTCTAAATAGATTTGACTTTTGGGGTGAACATCTTATATGAAAAGTCAACTGAATTTTAGTCCTTTTTAAATTTCTTGTACCCTGACTAAACTTTCTTTTCCAAGAATTCTCCACTTGGAATGGTTATGAACTGCCTGCTTCAGCATTTCCAAAAGAATCAACAAATGAAAAGCAGACTGTCTAGAGCATTCATGTGAGCTTATGACCAGTGTAACAGCACAGACTATGAATTAGAATGAACGCACAACTTTTTACTTGACAATAGATTGTGAAATCCAAATTATTCACTTACTTTAAATTATAAGCTGATATTCTTGCCACTTACAAATTTGTATACTCTAACAGAATACACAGTTAAGTACAATGTAGGTTACAGAAAATATAATGAAAGTAAGCTATGTCACCCTTTTCCAGAATTTGGTGGATGATATTAGTTATCCTCTCTCCCTCCATTGCAAGAGTGAAGAACATAACTCTTCTTTAGAACAAAGATGGGAAGAGTTGGCTTATATTACAACACACACCCTTTTGACTCAGGTTCCTATCTACCATCCCTCTTTCTCCAATATTGCCTTTGTTTTCAACTTGATGACTGTAGTCCTGCTTGGCAAAAGAGCCTATTACACTTTGACATAGAGAGAAGAGAATTCAGGTTGAAAATAAGGTAGCCAATGAGGGCTTTAAGTTACAGTGTCATACACACACACACACACGTGTAAATGCATGCACACATGCACAAATTGGACCAAGAATAAATTCTAAAAAACGTTCTACTGCCTTTACTGTAACTGAGATTATAGCACAGTTGAAAACATCAGCCCCTTTGGGCAGTTACCTACTGTTGTTTTTGTTTTATGTTTGATTTCTAACAATTCAAATTAAACTAATGCAGTAGCCATCTTGCTCCCGGTGACCAGGACTCCAAGTTTGGCTTAGGTGGGATCCTCAGGGAATCCCATCTGCCATTTTCACTGTCATATGGAATAGCTCTCCCAGTTTGGGTTCCCTTTTAAATGTGAGCTCTTCCAATTTAGGGTCTACCTTTCTCTGTGAGGGTCTTTTTCTTTCACAGCTCATTTTCTTCCTTGAAAATATCTCACCATTTCCAGCCAATACATCTCATGCCTAGCCACAAGCTGCCTGTCAGAGGCTTACGTGTTGCTGTGATGCTGAACAGGTTTCAGTGAAGCTACAAGACTAAGAGAGAGCAGGATAAAGGGCCTTGGGATCTGTTTCTGAGAAATCAGTCAATGAAAGTCTTATGGATCACAGTGGTCTGTTCGGTAACCAAACCAATCTTGTGAATGACACGATGGCAGCAATTTGCGCCATTGTGCTTGGGGTCACCATGAGTTGAAGGCTGACTCAACAGCCCATGCATGATTTACTGCAGTTCAATGAAAAGTTCATCCCCAAATCCCACATTAGAGTCCTGGGTATTAGCTTCATTCCTGATAGGATTTCCAGAAGTAGTGTTTTACATCACAAGCACTTCAAAAATGATACCTACAGATTTAAATCTTCAGAAGTCTTTAAGAGTTCACATTTATTATTCAGTCGAGAGCATTCTGGTCCATTCTTGGGGATGCCCTCCTTTAAGTTCATAATCACCTTCTGGAGATCTGTAAATATCATATTATCACCTAGTCAGCCAGGGAGATTGTGTGTGACACACTGGGTATAGGAGTGAAGTCCTAGAGAACCCAGGTACCTGGTAGTGTATTACCTATTTTCTTGGTTAGTGAGTTATTCTCATCATGGACATTTTCTGGAGGAAAGATTCAAATGTGTATCTTATATCCCTATAAAAATCACTCCAGAACCCACTAATACATTGAAATATTGGTGTTGCATTTGTACTAGAAAAAATAATTGAAAGTGAGGAGCCATAGGGATTTGGCACACAGCTCCCCCCCACCCCCCACCCCCCCTTCTCCCAGCTGTATAGTTACTTACCTGTGATGGCCAGCTGTGTCACAAAGAATGTCATCCTGGACTTTCTCTTCCTTCTCCATGTGGAGAACAGCACAGTGGCATTTCCAACAATGGTGAAAACGAAGAGGACCCACAGAGTTACCAACTGCTCAGTCTGCAAGAAACAGAGCAACACCAAATGGTCACACCAGTGAGGAGCAGGGTACTTTTCTGAAGGCCTGGCTCAGACTCCATTGTTAGAATGCCCTTCTCCTCCTTCCATATCCTTGGCTTGTCTAGTCCTGAGAGGCCAATAGTACAGTGGTGTTTATTTACAACAGAGCAACGAGTGGAAGCATGTAAGAAATCTATTTGGAAATACATATCAAGAGATTTTTTAAAACTACATCCTGCTAGACTGGGAGTACACACATTAGTACAGATAAGAGCTGTTGACACATGGAATTGGGGATGGGTAAAACCTCAGGAACAGTAGTGGGAGTAGCGATCTCATGAGGGTAGTGGGATGGTGGGGGTGGGTGGGGTAGAAAGGGAAAACCCATCACAAGGTTGGATATATAGCCCCCTCCCAGGGGGACGAAAGGTGGGTGAATGGAGACAACAGAGAGTCTAAGATTTGAAATAATAATAATATATAACTGATCAATCATTCAGGAGGGTGGGAGTGTGAGGGAGGGAGGAGAAAAAAGAGGAGCTGATACCAAGGGCTCAAGTAGAAAGAAATTGTTTTGGAAATTTTGTTGGCAACATATGTACAAGTGTGCTTAATAGTATTGAATGATAGACTGTTATAATATTTGTAAGAGCCCTGCAATAAAATGATTAATTATAAAGAATGCATCTCTTGACCAAGCAGTTTTAACTCTATGTGTGTAAACTCAAGGTGTGAAGAAGAACCTGATAAATACATCCATAAAGGCATTTGAGTTCTGACACATGCTATGACCTTGGGAACATTATACTGAGTGGAATAAGCCAGACCCCAAAGAACACATATTTTATGGTCACACTTAGACGAAAGGTATAGAGCAAGCAAATAAGTAGCAACAAAGGTATATTGGTAGTTATTGGGGGCGGGGAGAGCATAGGGAATTATTGCTCAGTGGGCACTGGCTTTCTGCTTGGGATGATGAATAACTTTTGGAAATGCATAGTGACGACAGTTGTGGGAAACGGCGAGTGTAATTAATACAAATAAATTGTGCACTTAAAAAAATTTTAAAGGGGATTTTCTTCATATGTTAAATAAAATATAATTAAAAACTTAGACTCGGTAGATTAAATAAAAGAATACCTACCTTAGAATATGTATTCTAAGGAGAAAGTAATTTTAGTTTAAAGATGACAAGATGGTAAATAAAGGCAGTTTGATTATGTAAAATATTGTGTAGCTATTAATGATGGCCATAAAGACTGTGTAACAACATTAAAAACATGCTTATAATATATTGATAAGTGAAGGAAAACCATGATGACAGTTGTATGTTCAGTGATTATAGCTCGGCAGAGTTAGACACAGAGGAAAAACGACTGAAGTACACTTCAGTGTTAAGGGTGGTTATTTTAGGCTAGTGTGATTATGGGTTATTTTTCCATCTGGCATAATTTTATAATATAGTAATATCAAAGATTTGCTGAAATATGTATACTTAGTAGAAAAATAAAAATAAATAAAAGAAGAATATTACTAATTAAAAATGTCAACTCGGTAACTCGTTTTTCATAGTTCCTTCAAATGAAGATTCTCGTCCGTTTGACGTTCACAGCCCAGGGTGTGAAGCTAGGGCACGGGACCGGCCTGGGGCCTGGGGATCGGGACCAGGCGGAGCTTGTCTATGGCTGAAGAACATGTAGCCAAGGGGATCTAAGTGATGGCACCAGGAAGCTACTCCCAACCCCCAAATTGAAAACAGAGGCACCAGCACAAAAGGTCTAGATACGACTGCTCACGTCTGAAATTGGAGGCTGCCGTGGAGAGGAGCCTCATCACTAGGCTAAGACAACTGGGCACCTATCTGCCACGACCTCCGTAGTTTGGGACAAAATCCCCCACACCAAAGCCGTGCAGGTGCAGCCGATCCTCCATCTGCATGCTGCAGGGCGCTTCCTGCATGTGATCCACAGCAGCGTTCACCAGCCCTCACTCCGGTGGCACCCTTCAACAAACAAACAGCAGCAGTAAACAAAAACCTCTCTACCACGGAGTGGATTTCAACTCTTAGCTGCCCTGCCGGGCAGAGTCGAACTGGTTTTAAGGGTTTCTGAGACGGTATTTCTTTGCGGGAGCAGAGAGTCTCCGGTGGCGCCCTGGCATGGGTTCAAAATGTCTTTTCTTTTTCCAGCCAGTATTGGAGCAGAGACCTCATGCATCACCTAGGGCAGCGATTCTCAACCTGTGGGTGGTGACCCCTTTGGGGGTCGAACGACCCTTTCACAGGAGTCGCCCGATTCCTAACAGTAGCCAAATGACAGCTACGAAGTAGCAACGAAAATAATGTCATGGTTCCTTACCACAACACGAGGAACTGAATTAAAGGGTTGTGGCATAAGGAGGCTTGAGAACCACTGACCTAGGACCTTGCAAAAGGGAAGCCATAAAGGATATTGAAATTCCCTCTCCTATCATGATCCTTAGCCCTATCATAATTCTAAGACCTGATTCTCCTCCAGCTGGGGAAGGCATCAGGCAGACCTTTAGCCTGCAGCACGTATCACTGAAAGAGGCTCATCTGACTGTGCGGAGCTTGAAAGATCAAATCCAGGCTGTGCCGATGGTTTTATAAAGTAAAGATCCGGTGGGTTGAGTTCAGGGACAGCGTCTTGGAGGGGGGCAGTGAGCATGAAATGTGGGTATCTTAGCGGGGACAAGCTCAGTGCTTGTGACACCAGAATCTGGGGGAGCCTGTGAGAGCATCTCTTGGGTCCTTTTCTCATAATGAAAAATTACATCAGGAAACATGTAGAGACATAACATTATAAGACACAGAAAAACATAAAGACGAAATGAAAACTCAAAATTGGGGGTCTGTATTATCAAAGTGGGAGAAAGACAAGGCTTTCTACTCGGTAAAGAGTGCCAGGCTCAGAAGCTCATCCGGACAGTCTGACCCTGTCCTAGAGGGTGATGTGCGTCTGATTGGACTCAAGGGCAGGGAGTGTGAGTGTTTGGTACTACCAAAATCAACCTTTCCTCCTCCTCTCGGACCCCTTTCCCCACTTCTCATTTCCCCTCTCTTCTTCCCTTCCCTCTCTCTCTCTCTTTCCCTATTTCTACAAGTTGATGGTTTTTTCAAGGCTTTGTTTTGGAACTTGCTTTGTTCTTAGACAACAACATTTTGAACCAAAATGATACTCATATTTGACACACATCGTCTTATTCAGTCCTCCCAGTATTTCTAAAAGAGTGATTTTATTTATTTTCTTGCTTTTTATCCCCAAGGTTATACTCAGGGCAATTATAACTTATAAATTACAACTTTAAAAATGTATTCCAATGTCACATTTATGAGGTCTGGTTTCTGCCTCCTTTGCATCATACGAAAAGAGTGGTGATATGAAGTAGATGTTTGGACTACTAGCCCCAAGGTCAAATCTACTAGCTGCTCTCGGAGTAAGACGAGGCTGGATGTTCCCGTGAAGATTTGCTGTCTTGGAAACCCTACATGGGATTCCTATGAGTTGGAATTGACTGGATGGTAGGGATTTGGTTGTGGTATGGCTTTGGCTGCTGTACTTGTACTTGGGCTGTCTAGCAACGAAATACTTTACCTGATCAACTCTACTGGTTGCCCAAAGCTACAATATGGATATATTGCAATTTACACAAGAGATCTTTATTACTGGATATTGATTTTTAACCACTTGTTACCCTAGGCATAAATAATCCTGTAATAAACATCTGTATACTAATTTCTAAGAAAAATGTTCTGGGTTTGAACAACTGAAGTCAAAGAAATTTATTGGTTGTAAAGCTCTTACTTGCTCATTAAATACTACCAAGAAATCTTGCACTGGTTGTTAGTCACACTGCTAGTACGTGAAGATGAATATTTCAAAATATTCTCTGGAAGACAAAGTACTATTTAAAATATCCTGTTCTATGTAGTAAATAACACATCATGCTTAATGCGTGCATTTTAAGAAGCCCTGGTGGCACAATGGGCTAACCACTGGGCTGGTAACGACAAGGTCAGCAGTTTTAACCCACCAGCTGCCTTCTGAAACCCAAAGGTTCAGTTCTACCCTGTCATATAGCAAATGGCCCATCTTCAAACTCTGTTTGATAAACTTGTTAGAATCCTTTATTTATAAAGAACATAATCTCTTGGTAATATTAGTGGTGCTTTATCTATTTGAAACTAGGTTTGTTTGTGATATCTTTTTATAATATAAGCACAAAGAAGTACATAAAAATATATACAGAT